TATGGCTTTCGAAATTTTGACTTAACCATCGAACCAGGGTTTTAACTCCGGATTTTGAAATAAAAACAGCTGATAAAATAGTCATATAATTAAAGCATGTTATGCGAGATGTTTATAGAATCTGCAGTTATCTCTAATGTCCATGCCGCCTGGTGTTCATATTACAATACATTTTAATTTTACTGTCGTTATCACAATATGTCGAACGATAATGTTTACGTAGCTGTTGATGTAACTGTGGTAGTTATTACAAAACTAGTAGGTAAATCGATAAGAATTGCCCGACACATTGTGAAATTATCTAATTAAGACAACATTTATAACAAAGCCGGATACATTCATGTTGCAAACCCAGACTACCTGTCGTCGAATAGTCAAGCCCAGCCTAGAGCCATAAACATGTTGTAATTTGTGGTAACGACAATAAAGCTATAAACAAAGTCTCCATACACTAACTATTCTTAAGTGTGTAATTACAGGAAATAGATAACATCGTAACACATTGCTCTAAATTTATCTAATGTAATCAGCAACATCCCATACATTTCCTCTCTTCCTGTTCAGAAAAGCGTATAACTGACGATTTGATGATATCACACCAATGATACCGAAACTGTTCACAACAGGTTTATTACTTAATTTAAGAAAAAATAAGAATACTGACAAATAACACAAACCGCCACATTGTATAATGACAAACCAAAAACCACAAGTGAAATTTAATTATGGCGTCTTGGCGGCACATCGGGTGTTATTAGTTAATTAATTAATTAGTTAATTAACTAACTAATAAACTGCTCTCGTATCACTGATGTTTACTCACATCTTGTTTTGTCGTGTTATTTGTTTTACAATAACTCTAAGTATTTTGAAAATTGTGGTCTTTTTTTTATTATGGGCTTCCTGGTCTAAAATAATTCCCACATAGACACGTCTTTCATTTGGAAACGTCTCAAAACAACGGATGTATACAAGTATAAACAGACATTTTCTATTTATGGCTTACAACCATCATATCATCAAACAATACGTTAATTTATATTTAACTTGGAAACACCATACATCGAGTGACGCAGGAACCCTCTTGGCATATTGTACTGGATATAAATACATACATCAGATATCGATACATTTATCAAAATACCGTTAAATTACATATTGTTCACCAGAGTTACCGCCAACGTAAAAATTAAAATAAAATGTTGATCAGCATTACATTCTGATAATTTAAAAAAAAGTGTTGTTTTGAAATGACTTTACCAAGAATAACTTAACATTGAAAATCATTTTATTGGTTTCCAATATAACTTAAATTTCATCTGCGTATGATTAAATTACATCTTGTTATTTTAACATCATATTACACGCCCTGGGTTACGTTTTACTCTATAGCACCGGTCTGTTTTCCACTCACGAGGCGCGCACACACAGAGTTACTTTTATGAAAATGTTATCAGGATTTCACGGCGGTGCTTCAAATCAAGCATTTACATGCCATATTGAGGACGGTTTCTGCAATATTAGGTGCGAACGAGAGAGCAGAGTGAATGACGTACTCAAAAAAAAAAAAAAAAAAAAAAACGCCACGTGGCACTAAAACCTGCAAGCTGTCTATTATAAACTACTGACCCATGTAATTCGTTTCACATCTCGTGATTTCGCACGAATGTGATATTCATTGCATGATGAAAAGGAATATAAATTAACGGATAATCCCCATCCTCCGTTGCAACATTTTTTTTTTCATACAAACGAATAATTTTACTGTGTAGACTCTATTTTGTTAGTCGATTTAAATGAATCATAATTTTGGATATATTCTATGAATGTTTCAAACTGGAAACTTCCGTGTGACAGTTATGTATTTACGGCGTCAAGCGCGACAATGTCTTTAACATGTGTGACGTCGTTTTCTTACTTTCTAGGTCTTCCTACATATGAAATTTTCAGTTTCAAATTATTATTAATAACTTAACAACGTACAGATTACAAATTAGGAAACACATTTGGAATAATAGGTAGCAGGATAAATGCAATAAAAATATCTTTGGCATTTGCTCTATGTACTAATGTGTGTCAATTACAATTACTTATCGATGAAATATAAACAAAGGTTATTTCCAAAGGAAGATGAATCTCCTGAAATCGGAAACAAACATCGTTCAACTGAAGTGTATTCGTATATTCTTTTAACGAGAACGTTACGATTCTTTATTTATCGTTAATGTGGGCGTCTGTGTGTGTTAAAACAAGAGATAACCTAGCTGAGAGTACAAAGTCACAGAAGTGCCGTTTTATTCATTTTCGAATCTGAACAACTTTGGTTTGTGAAATCCCGATATCGACTCGGTGAGTAATACTACGATGTTGCTGTTTGGTTTCCTGGCTGTCAAAAAATAGCTTCAGGTCGTGCTGATTTGTATTTTCTAAAACGTCATACCCCAAAAGCAGACGGGACCTCAGAGTGACTCTTACTAGTGTGAAGATGCAGTTACCATTTCAGAAATGATGGAAACAAAATTTAGAAAAAAAACATACACAATTTATACTTCATGATGTATTCTTCACAATGGTTTAATTTTTTTTTAAAAATCGAGCGTTTTTTTCACCCAATTCATTTATCGCATCTGTTTATTTTTAGAGTCATGTGACACCAAAACACACAAAAATGTGTTTGTTTTTTATCGAAAATGTCATGCTTTTTTTTTTTACACATGTATAGATTTGATATGTTTAGATCATTATTTGTTTCGTACCCTGCTACCTTAACGCGAGATAATAAACAAGTTTGTACATCCTTAATAAGATGTAATTACCAAGTCTGGAATTTTTCTGGGCTGTCTGAAGCTTGAATGAACATTACATAACACGTTATTGAATCATTTTCTACTTAAATTCATAGATGCAATTTTTCCATTAACCCGAGAGGACACATGAATCACGCAACCATTCAACCGGAGACGTTTCTATTTCAAGTTGTGTATATCGTTTATAGTCAGCATTCGATTTACCTAATTACTGAGATCCTGAATAACTGTTCTGTTTACAAATTGTATAAGCACTGACTGTAGACGTCATTAACCAAATGCTTTCCCAAAGCATAATGTAACACTGGAGACTGAATCATTCCACTAAATACTACTTGGCCAACTCGAAATTCCAACAGGAATTAGAATACATGTAATTATGTTATGTGTGTTTTGTTGTGTTTGTATGTTATTTGCTCCCATTTTATTCATTTCGAATTAGAGTATCTTTCCGAGTTTGATTTGGAGTTTGGACAAAAACGGGATTTGCACAAAAATGGGCGAGGCGCAGTCGACTGACCGAAATCGACACTGTGGTTGGCGTTCGGAAGTCTGTGACGCTTACAATCAAATGGCATGCAAAAATACGCCAATATACAATTTAAAAAAATACCTTTTCGTAATATAACGCGTCACAATAGATTTGTTGTTTAAACGATTCTTTCTAATGATGGAAAATAATAAATATTCACGCACAAACATGTTTGTGCACTCGTGTACTATAATCCCCAGGCATTGCCTAGTTATCGTATAATAACTGGGCAGCATGTGGTACTCAACAACCAATGAGACCGCGCCATGTTAGTGCACAGTATCATTATCATAATGCAATATTAAACTCACGCCATTGGGAATACTTTTTTCCCACACGCACTGACACACTGGATTGAATTGATTTAATAAACATTACGTTATAATATAATATAATTATTAGAATAATTATTAAAATAGTTAATATAATTAAAATAATTATTGCATCCACGTATCACAGACACGTATCCAACTGAGCGACGTCACAAGTCGAGTTCACCTAAAATATTTCCCGCTCTCAAAAATTAATGTAGACTGAGTACCAGACATGCTACCACGTGTATAAGTAGATTTTATTTTAAAATTGAGAAAAAAAAGAACACATAGAAAAACACGATTTAGTTTATAAATATATCCGACTATCGACTTTAATATCGTACATAGTGAAACATATGTTAGGAAATGAGAAGGATTCATGTAAATATAGGTAATCTCCTATTTTGTGGAAAAAAAAACACTTGAAGATCTTACCTTGTATTGTGGTATACGTCGGTCTTAGGGAGGAATGCTTCTATGACTGGAATCCGCCTAACTGGATGTGCTCGAGACAGCGTGCTATTATCTACCCAACCAACTGTCACTCCTAATTTGCATATAGGTGGAAACCATCCGGCACTTTGTAAGGTGGAATGTGTAGATTGGGATGGGGTGGGCGAAATGAATTAACCTGAAAAAGTTGGCATCAGTCCCTCATATAATATTCTAAAGCATATTCAATTATTTTGTTACTATTCGTAGTTTGCCGTACTTGTTTTTCGAACAGTCATTTCCCCCTTTTCGAACTTCACCCCTCATATGGAGTGGTATAGTCCCCTGTACCATATGTGGTTAATGTAGTCATGAAGCAACCTCGCAGTGTTAGTGACTAAAACTGGAACATCATATACACCAATCTAAAACCCAAGATGCAACTCACATTTGGTAACTCATTTGTGTAATGAAAGTCATTTGTTGACACTCACCTCCGATTTCTGTTGTTCGTGGAGCTGTTTGTTACGAATGACGTCATGAGTTAAATTACAGCACGAACCATTTGTGGCGGCG